GCTCCCTGTTCAAAGTCCCCTACAACGTTTCATTTCCGCAGGAGGAGCTGCTTCGTTGGAAGACAACTGTTTGAAGACCCTGAGACATGCCAATTCATTTTTCTCTGGATTCCAACGCCACGGAGAAAACTGATTGCGTCTTGACGATCCGGAATCATGCCAGGACGCCATGTTTGGGACTTCAGCGCCGCGAATCAACGTAACTGATGCACCCTCATAATCCTGAACCCTTGAAGAAAAACATGTCTGGACGTTTTGAACTGCGACTCAATCAAAAACAGAAACAGCCCTCGATCCGTGAAACACTTGCAAGTCTTGAAAACAAATGCGCGCGGCGCTAAGGCGAGAACGACATTTTGAAAACGGGTTGCCCTCAATCCGTGGACCTCTTGCAAATGTTTGAAACGAATGTGTGCGGCGCTATAGCGAAAACCACACTTTGAAAACGGGTCGCCCTAAATCCGTTGAATCCGTGCAAATGTTCACAACGAATGCGCGCGGCGCTAAGGGGAGAGTCACATTTCAAACAAAAAAACGCCCCCCATCTGTGAAACTGTTGCACATGTTCAAACTACAGGGTCACACATGGTGAAGAAAACTCAGGCGAACCGCCCGACCCGCCCTACAAACCGGCCTCGGGGTGCGACAGGGAGAAATTATTCAGAAGGAAAAGGAATGGAGAAGGAGGGGGAGGAGGAGGAGACGGAGGAGGAGGAGACGGAGGAGGAGGAGACGGAGGAGGAGGAGGTGGAGAGACGAGGAAGAAGAGGAGACGGAGGAGGAGGAGGAGGAAGATAACAAATGCAGCCGAACGATGTATGTGAGGCCAGACGCGGTGGCGGTTTGGGGCGGCTTTCTGCCGCCATGGGCCCTCGCCGGGCCCCAGGGCCGTCGACGCACGACCCGGGATGTGAAGCTGGCCCTGGAGGGAAGAGTTTTTTGTTGGGGGGGGGGTCAGCTCCCGCAGACTTTGTGATGTCTGCTGAAGAAGGCGGTCCGCCCTCGGGTGGGCCCGTTCGCTGGCTGCCACGGCACGGGCCCCGTAGCCCTGTAGAGAGCACCCGCCAACACGTGGAGAGAAAAGAGAGGTGTTGGGACAGCTGTGGCCCGCGCGAGGAGCTGGCACGACCTCGCATGTCTGGCTCCAGACGAAGCGCTATGAACCGTGCCGTCTACATCTGTAGACAGCAGAGTTGCTGTCGGCCCGTACCATCAACAAGGGTGCGCGATGAGGATGCAAGGGCATTGGAAGGCCGGTTCGAGGCTTTTCGAGCGGGGCGCGGCCAGCGAAAGTGGCCAAGGCTGAACCGAGGAGGCAAGGATGCAAGGGAACCCTTGGGAAGGTTGCCCATCCTCACCCTGCGGGTTGTCTGTAGCTTCTACACCGCTGGTCTCAGCGGTGAGGCAGAGAGAACGCCGCAGCCGCCAGCCCACATGGGGGAGCGGGGGGGGCACGACCCCTGGGCGACGGCACGCCCGAGCGTCCTCCAGTACTGCACGACTCCCCAGGCGTGCCTCCCCCGCCCTCTGGGTGGGTCCCCCCCTGGATTGACTCTGGGTGGCGGTCGTCCTTTCCCCGCTGATGATTAGAAGGATCCCTGACCCTGTGGGAGCGGCCCTAAGTTAGGAGGGGCAAAACACGGGGGACAGGGGGCATTTTCTGCAGACGTATCGGACCAAACCGCCCAGAATTATGATCCCTAATGCGAAGTCGGGTACCTCAGTCAGGCCACGTCTTCATCGTGTAATTATGGTTAGGGGTTCCGATGTTCTCGATGATCTGATGATCACGGCTGATCCACTGACGGATCCGACCTGTCTCCCTCTATCGGTTTCACTGGCATCGAAACGCCTCGGGCGGCCGTCTGGGACGATCCCGGCGCCCTCGTGAACGACTCCTCGGCGTGGCGCGGCTGCGGGGAAGCATCCCGAGGCGAGAACATCTTGCAACAAAATGCGAACACTCCAGAAAACTACGACGGATCGGCGAACACTTCCTACAACTTCGCCTCCCCGTCACGAAATACCATATCCGTGGATCTGATGCGTAGGCGCCATATCCACGGATCGGGGAAAGCACTCCCCAAACATTGAAGCCAGTTGACTGGGCGATGGAGCGCGTCGGTTTTACATGAAAGCAGGACCCATCGCTGATCCATCGCCGAATTCAGATTTCCGACTTATCGATCCTCCCTCCTGGGCATCAACAAAGGACAGCAGATGCCGAGGAGTACAACCACACTGGAAGGCGAAACTCATCACCTTGGCGGCAACCATAATGGCAGACGGAGGCCAATACGTAATGTGCTACATCACAAGGCAGTGTAACCATCTGCTGAGAATATGCTACACTAGCTATTGTAGGAGGCGGAGGGAAGAGGTACAGGAGAACGCGTTCTCCATTTCCCTGCCTCCCCCCCCTTCTCCTCCTCCTCCGCCTCCTCCTCCTCCTCTTCTTCTTCTTGCCACTTGTCAAACTAGGGAGCGTTGTCCAATACAG